ATGAGTACTTGTAACTTGTGAACACATACATTACATACATACAAGTCCATACATTCGAGATACATATTTTACACATTCTTTTTCAACGTGTTCCCGTTTAGGTACGAGAACATTTGCGATGGCTCAAATTTGATTCAAGTTCATCAAAACATCTTGGTCTGCCTCAAACCTTTTTGTTCCCTGCCCCCCGTACTTTTTAGAATCGCTTTAAGTAAATGAAAGCTAACACCTGTTAGCAGAAACTCCTGAAACTCAGTGTGCGAGCAATGGCCACACTTACCGACCTTCACGATCATGCAAAGCTCTATACAAACTCAACCTACATCTGTAAGCAATCTTCTTCTCGCTTCACTTAGAAATGGTGTTCAACTCACTTTTTCAGATGCCAACGTTTATTGGTTTCGTCCTTTAATCGACCATTGAATGTTCGCCAAATGACCACTGACCCGAAATTTGCCGAAAAACTTGGTCATCATTTTTCGCGTAACGATTTCCCAAACAAAAGTGCATCTAGTGCGGAATGCAAAACATTTATGCTACGGAGCGCTACCTGGACAGGAATGTTAACACGAATTGGGCGAGATACGCATCTTACAAGCTCGAAAGCCCATCAACAGTAAAAAGGCAGGTTTTTATCAGAGACTGGATCGAAATGGACAAGAAAAAACATCTTGCAAGGGCGGTGAAGGCTGTCTGGTCTTTTTTTTGTGCAAATAAAATTCTCCCTTGAAGATGTTTTCCAGAGGTGATAAAAACTCTTTTCTTCTTGACCGACGAAGATGTTCGCTGAATGTTATTCACTCGAGTAAAAAATAGATCGTTTGGATGATGACGAATAATGAAAACATTCGACGAGAAGTTCAGAGACACAAGTTCGGATAAGAAAAACAACATCAATGTGTCCACGCCCCGACGCTACCGTCCAACGAAATTCTCACGCGCTCGGCCCCCGACAGCCCCGCCCTTGGCCGGTATAAAACAGAGCGAAGACGTCAAGGGATCTGACAACGCTCTGGTGTAAGACATGGTGTTCAACATGCTCGTCGCTTTATTCATCCTAATCGCTCCTACCGTAGCCCTGCCGAGGCTTAGGGACTCATTTGATGGTGAGTTCGACTCTCCATACCCTTTTGTTGTAGACTTACATGTTTATTTTTGCAGAGCCGACAGCGTCACATTCAAAATCACTTCCAAATGACCACATCAATCCATTTTTCGCTTTCAATGAAGACGAAGTCCCACGAATGGCGCCTGTATATCTTGACGATGAAGTTGTTCCCCCAAAGAAGAAGACCGAGAAACTTCCAATGCAGAAAATTCCCAAACACCATGTCTTCAATGAGGATCGACCTATTCCTGATGTAATGCCCTCACTACCAATTCCAAAGAGTGCCGAATTCCTCGAGCCTCAGCCTGGTGTTGCGCCAAAATTCACGGGATCAGTTGAGAAGGAGCCATCCAGCACGGCCGCGGACTTCGATTATTTCAGCTTTGGCGAAGGCGAAGGTCCCGTGACGAATCCAGCAGCTACGTATCTTGCCGGAGGAGATTTTGAAAAGGTACGATAGACTTGCCAATCATGGTTGTATCCGCTAATTCTCTTCTTTCAGGTTTCCGCGCCAAAGTGCACTATGCTTGGCTGCACTGGACCTTTGCCAAATGACGGCAGTTTCTCGATCGATCCCCCAAAATCAAAGGGAAAATCATGCCATCAAACATTTGTTCCAATGAATGGATGCACGAGCAACAAGGGCTACCCGATGGGTATGCTCTGCTCAATCTGTTGCGACTGCACTGCCAGTTTTGTCAGAGAAATGAAGAAGACCCACGGCTATAAGATCAACTACCCTGCCTAATCTACCTTATTCTACCGTACTCCACATTGCTGAACTCAATCTCAATACTGCTTTGCAATCGATTTATTTTCGTTTCTATCTCATCTAGGCGGGTTCACTGTATATACACTGCTTG